ATCTTGGAGCCTGGGAACAGGCTAGAGGTTTCTCTGTCTTCAGTCGTCGCAAAGTTTATGGGACCACTGGGACAATACAGACGATCCGTACGATTATATGAAAACCCGGCAGCGGGGTATATATCAGACGCAGACGCCGTCAGCAGAGGATCCCCAGTTGTGCGTCGCTAAACGAAGTTTCTTTCAGACTCTGGTAGAGCTATTTGAGCACAGTTTGTAACCAAAATAAACATATGCTGCCATAAAATATCTATTGCAACCCACGCTGGGACTCTTTTCCGTCCGTGGGTCTAAATCAACTCAAGAAAATTAGGCTATATTGGCCCTGATAAAGACAGTCATATTAGACCCTAATGGTGTACTATACTTTACTAACGTAGGTGGCAGGAGTCTAGAAGGGTGGAGAGGAAGGGAAGGTACTTCTCTCCCCTGCCCCTCCACGTTTTTTGCCGGCCACCCATGCAGTCTAGTATCTGAGGAAACAGTCTCAATTTCAGACCTAAAACAAATCTTTTAAATTTACAGTGTTCAAAGATATAATTACCCAAGCAGTGTAAAGTACTTCTGACACAAACTAGCAAAATACAGTGTATGAGCTATAATGATAACAAAATATAGCAAAAACAAAAACGAATTGAGTTTTTCTGATACTTCGGACTGAGTCCAGCAGGACCGTTTTATGCTAAGAACACATGACTTTCCGATTCTTTATTCACTCCCCTGAAGTGTGGCGTCCGGACCGTAACAAATTTCGGGAAAACTCAAAACGCTTTTGTCTTTGCTGTTTTGTTATTATAGTTCATACAGCAGGATTTGGTTTTCGCTATGATAATAGTAAAGAAAAATAAAGATTATAGTGCCCGAGGGCACGCAAGAGAATAAGTTATTATACCAAAGTTATTTTCTAAAAATACAGACAATGCTTTTTTGCTATTGAGTTGAACAAACACTATTAATTTTCAATCTATCTTACTTTGCCTCAAAAGTTATGATTTTTCAGGAGACCAACCTCAGAGGATAAGGGTAAATCCATTAAAAACACAACTGACCTGCAAAGCCAGATAACTAATAATAGTGTTTTTTACGGTTTGCAGCAGCGCACTACAGAAAACAATAAACACAACCCAGTAACGCTCTTGCCTCATACCACCTGTAGATTAAAATCAACATGTCGCATCGGCGCTTGTTTCTATATCAGTATCATTTTTTCATTATTTTGCTAAAATTCTGGAAATGTATACATAGCAGGTGTGAGTATTCGGATCATTTTGAACAACGTGGGGTAGACATTCCAAGGTTATATAGTCGTACTTGTCTGAAACATTGGTAATGGATGCCTGGGCTCTGCAGGGCAATTGAATACTACGACCCACCCTACTAAGATACTCACAATGGTTTCTTTCCCTTTGTGTTGAGCAATGTAATAAAAAATAATCCATCTTCCGGTGTCAAGTGTCACCAGCCTCGGAGACCCACATGTCAGAGAGGTCCTAAAAACCACATACCTTCACAAGTATCAGTACCACTAAATTTAGTCAGCTAATGAGAGTAGATCTAACGATCAGCTGTGACAGACTCCTCAGCAACCCAATAATTTTCATACCTCCTGGAGATGGAAAAAACATTAATTGAATATTTTATTTTTTATACATTTATATACATACATTTTGTTGTAGCATTTGAGTTTTTTAGGCACAAAATTTGTGATTTAACAGACGCGAGGCTGTTAAAATGCTAAGACAAAAGAACGTCTATCGTGCCGGCTCAAACATGTCAAACGCGAGGGAACAATCACATGCATCTTCGGTCATGAAGCAATATTCTTAATGTTTATAATAATGGAACAATGTCGTGCCAATGATTGGGATACATGACGTAGTTTTAAAGTGGATAAAGGGCATGCTTAAGGTACAAATTGGTTTTGGAAGCAATGTACTTGTCATTTTAAAAGTAAAAGTGTTATGAGCTTGGAAAACGTTCAAGTTTTAGCAGGCTTGGCCTTTTAGAAGCCACTGGAAACAAAGTCAAGGAAAACCACGCGATAGGAACAAAGGTATTGATAGTGCATGCTTATGAATAACAAGTAATCTAAATATAACATACCCTTTGAAACTCAGTGAGGTGGTAAATGTGAGCAATAAAGCCCTCCTGTGTCTAAAATGTGATAAGAATAAGCAATCGGTGGATCGGTGCCCTTGCCAGCAAGTTTTCAACAAAACAGGAAAGCAAAACATCCCTGCTCATTTTTGCTTCGGGGTGTTACAAGACAAAAACGTCCGGAATATATTATAATTTATCCCAGATGTTTATCTTCGAAATCTATAAAAAGAATCATTTTTATTAGTAGTCAAGCCTGGGGGATCAACTTTATCTTGCTCAAACTGGTTGTTTTTATTGAGTAATGGACGCACTGTTTTCTACAAATATGTCGTCAGGGCTAAAGAATGCTACGGAAACAACCAATCCATCGGCCATGCAGGAGTTGTCATTGGCAGATCGGATAGAAAAAATCTTCAAAGTCTCCTTGCTTTGTCTCATAGCCTTGGCAAACATCGCTGGTAATTCAAGTATATGCTTCGTCGTTCTCAAGGACAGATATTTACGTCTAACGGTACGGAACTTCGTTGTAGCCAGTTTGGCTTTGACAGATCTTCTAGTCGTTCAGTTAATTATTTTCCAAGTACTAACTTACTACAACATTGGGAAAGAGCCGAATCTCTGCAATCTTATGGGCCAAAATTTTGGCGTTTTATTATATGTCAGTACCTTGCACTTATTTACCTTGAGCTTGGACAGATATATAGCCATATTTTATCCTCTACGGTACCGATTCTTAGTTACACCAAAGCGGATTACTGTCATTTTGTTAACAATCTGGATTATTCCATTAATATCTATTCATCTCCTCCCTGCGGTGATTACAGACCTTCACGGCTTCCCGAGTTTTTACGTATGTATCAACGAAGGTTTTATTGAGGAGAAAGACAGAATGAACCGGGCACACATGTTCATTAACGTGACATTTCTTTTCTTTTTGCCACTTATCGCGATGATGGCGGCTTATTATCGGATTAGCAAGATTGCTTGGTACCAGGCCAACCGTGTAGGAGTTGCGGTCGTTGAGTCTACAGTTAGAGTTCAAAGCAGCCGGCTCCCTAGAGCAAGAGAGAGAAAATGGGCAAAAACACTTGGTAAGTTTATATATAAATAACGCAATGCGCGATCAAGCTTGATTCCGACGCGAAGTGATGAGGAAATTGGACCGCATGCATTTTCGCTGCGTTCTTATTGGTGCATTTCATAGCGGAAGAGAAGACTTCAAACAGAGCGTTCAAAATGAGTTTATACTTATTCCAATCGCTGTATATTAAAATATAAGAATGAGAAAATTAATTTTAATGCACAATATATGCTTTGCCATTTTGGCTGTGTTCATTGCCTTGTCCAGTCACACAAGCGTTTTAATGCGGTCTTAATTGCCAGCCACTTTGTAAAGTTCAAAGTCCTTACAGTATGTAAGCCTTACGTAATGGTTTTGGCGTTCAGAATATTTATTATAAACCTAAAAATAACCCTGCCGTGCTAGAAAAAAAACCATTCTGGACCTCAGTGAAAGTTTCACCACTGCAGTTGGTCATCGGAAACTGAAAGGTTGTCGAGGCATTTTCTAAACAGGACAGATATACCACTGGGCCACTTTGTTTCAGGACAAACTTGACCTTCAAAGGCTTATGTTTGTTGTGTTTTTGTCTGCGAAACTGTCGGCATATGCTGACCTCTCAAATTTGAATAACTTCTAGAAGAGGTACATCATTGTAACATCGTATTGTCTCTGTTAGCAGCCGGCACGCAAAGAAACTTCTTTCATTCTTGAGGTGAAGTCCAGTGCCATCAATATCGTTTTGAAAAATAACTAAAATTTCTGACTTAAAGCTTTTTGGGAAGTTGCCCTTAATTTTGCAGGTCCATGTTGTTTATAATTAGTTTTAGCAACTTCATTAGTAGAGACTATTTTTCATTTGCGACATAACAACGACGGAGACCAGGTGTTATGATTCCGCGAGACTGAGCATCCAACCCAAACCCTTGTTTTCACTAAAACCGCTGGATATCAACCTGGTTGAGGTCATTGTTTTCTAAGATCTTCCGTCGCAAGCAGTCTTCTGTTCGCCACTTTAGAAACGAGCGGGGAACTGAACTCGAAATGTGTCACGCAATTGCTTTTTGGGATCGTTACAGGGGACGCACCGGTCAGCTATAATAGAGAAATTAAGAGTACACCAAACGGCGAGCATGAATTTGTACCACGTGAACAAGTTTTCCCCTTTTAAAATGGTAGTTTACCGTTTTTTTACTTCTAATCAAAAGTAAGTAGTTTCACGCCAGTTTTATCCATAAAGAATTGTTCTGGACAGTTTTTATCTGCTTATTTTCTATTCTGACTAAAAGAATGAAGCCCCATCTCCTTCGCTAGGGAAAACCGGCCTCAAACACGTTTATCTTTTTTTTGTAGCAATCGTTATTGGTGCCTTTCTGGGCTGTTATCTACCGGTGGTCGTGGCATCCTTAGTGCACATTTACTCCGGAGGAACGACCAATCACGAACTAGCAAAGACTTTGGAAATGCTGATGTTTCTAACTTTTTTGAACACTGTTCTCAACCCAATGATTTACTCTCTTCGAAACAACGAATACAGAAGAGCATTCAATAAGATCTGTGGAAAATGCTTCCGCGACGTAAATAACGACCCCCGGTCACGTGTCAACTACATCAGACATGAGATGGAAAGTCAAACAGTTTCTACTCTTATGAGCACGTCCCTACATCACAGGGACTCCGTTAGTTAGGGGACCACGCTTATACACTCGAACCCAGCGGCAACCCGGGGGGACGGAGGTAAGATGCCTACCGAGAGGTGACCGGTATGGGGAAGGGGGAAGGACTCGGTTTTAATTTGACACCAATCGTTTGGCAAAAGATAGAACGTATTTATTTGTTACCGATGCGCATTTTAGCGCTTTAATCCTGACGATATGACATAATATGTCATTAAAAGAGAAAACCCGACAGAGCAAAAGCGTTGTGGACAGCAAACAAAAGTAAATGTGTGGATGTTCTCTGGGACTTAAAACTTGCTGTTTGTGGAGAGGTGACTGTTTGAAAAGCAGTTGACTATAATTGTTTTCAGGAGCCGATTACTGTTGTTTTATGAAAGTGAAAATGATCCTCGCAATTGAATAAACAACCTAAGCGGTTGAGAAGCTGAAAAAAATTCAGGCTTGACCGGGAATCGAACCATAACCTTTGTCATATTTTTTTAAAATTGCCAATGTACTAGTTCCTGGCCAGTAGAAGACTTATCAGATTTAGGAAGCGCCATGTATTTCTCTAGCCTGCGAAAACATCCGTTTCTCCTCGCTCTTCGCCTCTGGGGACGTTGCGAAACGTGCCCAGCGGAGAAGAGGGTGGAGAAACGGATGTTTTCGCAGGCTAGTATTTCTTTTGCCTTTGAAGTCGTTGAAATTTGCGACACATTTGCATTTGCAGACGAAGCACATGCAGCTCGCTGTAAGGTGCATGGGTTTCCTGTGGAAAGTTGGCAGAACTATTAACAAAGAATCCGAGGTTAAGTTAGTTACTATGACAACGCACATGTTCTCAGTTACACAGTTAACCCAGGATTAAAGGTAACCTCAGGCTGTGAACCTTTGAAACTGTTCAAAACTTTGCGGTGAACCCACTGAGGCTTGTCAGTGGTTACATTTTCCATTTGAACATTTTGACGTCGTTTCTATGGTCTATAAGTCTCTGGACAATAAAAAGTTGCGCCTTTTTATAATTTATCCGTTGTGTTGCGCTGGTCTGATACCCTCAGCATTCTCCTTTATGACTTTATTCTAGACAATTCAGTCGCAACAGCCATGAGATGTTGAGAGGGTAGTCTATTTTATAAAATCTTCAATAAATAATCAGATTTTCGAAGTGCATGCCGCGTGTTGAGTCTTTTTTTTCTTTTTCGATCAAGTGAACGTTCAAGACCCCACAATGCTGTTCGGAAAGAGTGGGGGGGGAGGGGGGTCGGGCGTGAACGGTCCATGGGCTGGTGGGTAATGAGGGGTGGAATGGGACGCAAGTCCTATTTTATCCCCTGTCACCGAGTTGATTAAACGTGGCGAATTTCAACGAAACAATATTAAAGGAGCTGTGTCACGAAATTCAGCCAAATTAGGAAATTACAAAATGCCTGTTAAATTAAGAGAAACATAAAAATGACCGCTTAAAACTTTAAAGGAAGGTTAAAATAACATAACAGAAACAACAGATCCCACAGACCGGCAAAACTGAAGAAGATTGAAAAAGATTGAAATTAGGGTTTTTGAAAACTGTTTAGCCTAACAGTTTTTCAAAGTTGATCCCTGCTGCTTGCAACTTCAAAAAAAATGCTCAGGAGATATTTTTGTTTGTCTCAGATCTCTGATTTTGTCATTTTCCTGTAATTTCTTTGCTTACTTTAAGTTCCATAGCGATTGAGGGCGAGTAATTGGCAAAATTAAACAAAATGAACTGGACTGCCGTGACACAGCCCCTTTAAACAAGAAGACTAATAAAATGGACGCCAAGATAATGGTTGTCTAGGGGGCTCGGGAGTCGTCGCCATTTTGAAGGGCCGAGATTAACCCGGTGATGCGTGACTCTTTGCGTGACTTGGTTCGCGTATTGTTTGGCTGATAGCGTGTGTGGACGGAAGCCAGAGTCTGATTTCTGCAAAACGCCGTTTTCAAGGGACAATGAAAGTCCGAATTGCAAATGAACTGCCTAATGTGCCGATCGGGCTCGTCAGATTACTAGGGAAAGTGCTCGTATCACCTGAGGACAAAGTTGGCTTCACAATGTACGATTTCACCCTTCAACCTGAGGACGACTTCTCGTTCACTGCTATTTATCCTGATCAAAATCACATTTATTACTGCGTTGAAGGTACGTTGATGAGTATCAGGAAGTATTCACAACGGTCCGTGATTACAAAAACAGCTTTTCATAGCAGCTGGGATTGCTTGCTATAAAGAACTCAGTGAAGAACTGAACGTTAGAATGAGAAGTCTCGTGACCATATACATGATAGGCTTCACAGCATATAAGTTTCGCCATTCTATTATTCATGGTTTCGCCCATTTGCGTTTGAGAATTGATACAGGCGTTTAACGCAGGCTAAGCAACAGAAGGCAAACTGAAAGGGAAGCGGTAACAAATGCCCATACGTAAGTAGACATGGTAGCTTAGGAGGTACTCCTTGCAGTGCCTGCTAGCTGAGACCAGCAGAGGGGCGATGGAGTGTTGAACACAGTTTTCATACACATCACGCAATCAACGAATTTTTTATTAAGCTGTTCGACGAATCACTACATTTTATCAACAATTTGCCAGGTTAATTGTGTATGTGAGTAAGTGTCTCGGGGTGCAAACGGGTAGGGTAGCAGGTTTGTTCTCCCGGATGGGAGATTGATACGGTTATAATAGCAAGATGCTCAGTTTGACCGGGGTTTAATCTCGTCCCCAGAGCCTGCGTTACCCTTATCCAGCGGAACGTGCAACCGACGCGGTAGGTACGTCATGTATGGGGACATATATTGTACCGACTTGAATGTTGAAATCAAGTTCCTACCACGGACTCTCTGGAAGAATCCAAAACTAGAACCACAAAATCCTGGTTCTGGTTTAATTGGGCCTGCGTGAAGTTGCTTACCCATTTGATCAAGAGAAGTTTCTAAGGGAATTTTCCCTTGCACGCACATTGGTACATAATTGTCCCAGGGCAGTTTTTCTTTGTGTGATTTTTGATCAATGTATCAAGTAACTCGAAAAGACTATCAAGGAGACCGAAAAAATATATATTTATTTAAAATGCCGGGATGGAGACATTCGTTAGTCATGACGACACACATTCTTTCATGCTCAGAATGAGTACAGTTGTTTGTAAATCTGAGAGGTTCAGTAGCATGCTTGTATAAAAAGTGGCATTGAACGACTTTCAATAACAAGACAAAGGAAATTTTTAGACGTGTCGTTGTGGCATGGTTTCATGAATTTATATTGAGATAAACTTTTTCCTTAAAAGTTTCAAGTCGTTTAAGATTGGTGTGTGCAGAGATGACCTGTCAAAATCAAATAAACGTGTTCACAGGTTTTTGATTAGCAAAGAAATTTGCAAGTGATGAACATATTTTTATCGGCCAATTAGAGATTTTTTTCGGATTTTTCCAGAGGTTAGACTTAGTGATCCTTGGTGCTTGTGACTAAAAGGAACGAGATTGTAATCGACTACTCCCTATGCGGTGAATGTGAGAGGCTATTGCGTGGAATAAACAGGGGGTTTTCGAGCGTATTCGTAACAAAAGTTAGTCAAGAGAAACCTACCGAGATTATGGGTGCTCTTTACTTTTTGTTTCCAATACGTTTTGTTTTGGGCCGAAAATAAGGTGCATGATGGGAGATGTGCAAGTGGCGTATGAGCCTTCCTTTTGGCTGTTTTTAATGAGAAGTTTTTCCTTTTTTACAGGAAAGTGCATCTTACACAAAAGTGCAGCTGAAACAATGGTCTTTACCACTGATCATGTTCTTGCTCTTACACCTGAGAGCAAAGTGAAGTTAGATATTCGTGAACCAATGAGAATCGTCGCTTGTTCAGTCCCAAGTGACCCAAGCATGTCTCCAGTTCCTTTTCTAATGAAAAATCTGAGTGACGTCATTGATTCAGACCGCAATGTCTTCTTTGAGCGTGGATACAGTCGGAGATTTCTAGCTGCTCCTGAAGGCTTCAATATCTCAGTTCACAATACATTATGCCATGCCAACAATAGTACGCGCCTGCATTATCAGCACAACGTAGAAGCGGTTTACTGGATCAAAGGTCAAGGTGAATATGCCTTGCAAACTGGTGCGCAGAAGCACGAGTTTAACCCTGAAAAGCATCGCGGGACTTTGTTTCTTTTGGAAAACGATGCGCATGTGGCCAAGATTGGCTCCGCTGATTCCGTAGCAATCTGCCTGTTTTTCCCTGCGCTAAAGGGAAATGAGCGTCTCAAGTTTGACCAGGAATCTGGCTCGTCTTACTAAAACTTTCTTTAAGAGAATATCAATAAAAAATGTTTTCCTCAGTGTTTGTAGTAAATAAGACAAAATCATCGAGAAAATAAATTTAAATTTAATAAAAGTTCCCTTGGTTTAGCCATGTTGAGTTGAAGACCCATGTTAAGCATAGACAAATATTTCAGTAAAAAAGGATCTTTACATAATCGTCGGAGACGTCTGATGGTCTTGACTTAAAAAACCGATGTTATAGCCTGAGAAAACAGCCGACATCGCGACGACGGGGAAACCAGTGGTAGCGTCACCAAATGTGGTCAAATATCGGCCGTTTTCTCAGGCTACCGGTGTTAAAACGGAGAGGAGGGGGCCTTAAAGGAAGTCTTTAGACCTGATACCTTTAAACGCTGACCCCGTTTAAGCCAGAGGTACAGGGTTGTTAGTAACTTGTCCGTAGAGCAAAGCAGAAATGACTTCAACAGGATCGGGAACCTTTCAAGTATGTTTAATCTTTTCACGTAGTTAACTCGTAGACAATTCAAGTAATTCAGCATGTCTCTGTGTCTTAACGATTGGTAATTCAGTTCTGTTTGTTCGAGGTAATTCGCAGAGGCAATTCGTAGAGGTAATTCAACGCTCTTAACGAGAGGTAATTCGCAGAGGCAATTCAAATTGTATAGTGTACAAGCTAGCTTATATGTGGTCTGGATATGCTATAATACTGTTCAATTATTATGTTCAGCAAGTCTTTCATGTAAAATTACATTCACAGCAGAATCACAACTAACATCCTCCTAGTTAAAAACGAGCACGTACAAAGGATGGTAAAGCAGCTGAGAACACTTCAATTGCTCTAGATTATTGAGCTGAATGTGACTAATATCCTGATTCTAGATTGTGTTTACACTAAGTTCGTTAGAGACGGAAACTTCAAGAAACTAATGTTTAAGCAGCTTTCGTTTTCCCATCTAAGGTTAATTACGATCGGAACTTCTTACTGCTTATGAATCCGTTGGTAAAACAAATTGTAAAACGGCTGAATAAACAGTCATCTTTGCAGGGTTTTTTCTTCGATTTTAAAGACATTGCTTTAACATCATATTCGAAATGCTGAAATGTTAACTCTGAGAAAACTGAGTTCCGTTCTAAAGGTAACATATTGAAGTATGGGCTGTGACACTTGTTTTTAAGACAAGACGCCTTATTCACCGTAACCCTGACTAAGTGGACAATCCAAAGTTTACACTCTGTTCACGTGAATACAGAGAGTATTTTTTAGTTAACCAGTGAGTCGCTAAAATTTAAAATCCAGGGGCGGATCCAGGATTTTTTTTAGGAGGGGGTGCACTCGTCTCTTGCTCTACTTCAACACTAATAAACCACATAGTTTTTTTTTTTTTTTTTTCGCAGAATACCAGTTGTATTAGAAAACCGCAGGTCATCTCAGGGAGGGGTGCGCACCTCCTGCACCCTCCCCCTAGATCCGCCCCTGAAATCCATGTATACTGTTAATTCCTTTGAGCCAGTGAGTGCTCTTTGTCGCAAATATACTCAAACGTCGATCCAGCTCCACATAGATTCCCATTCGAGGTGGTAAGAGAGAGAGATGATCGACTCAGTGTCAAACCGTCATGTTTTTATTTGGCAACGTCAACAAAGTCAACGATGCGATTTTGAGACAGTTGAGCCTTTTTGACATCATTCAAAGTAAACAAAGAGAATTTTGACTGTAGGTCACGCTATGTAAGTATTCTTCACTAACTCCAGGCCGTTGGGACATAGCCTATGCGAAGCTGTCTTCGGTAAGTATTCTTCTCTAGCATGCAATGATATATACGTCAAAGTTCTTGTTCGCAAATACGAGACTTTACAGCACTGAAACGTTTAAGTCTCTGAGACTTCAACTTGGACCAAGAAAGAGACTTCTAGACTTACACTAGCCACTTCCCATATTTCGGATCGACTTGAAACTTCCGACACCCACGACTTCATTGGTAGGATTCGTCAACACTCCGACTTGCCTTATTCGGCCTGTAATACAGAGCTTAGAAGTTAAACAAAAGCAGAGTATGATGGAAAAACGATTGTGCGAGGGGAATTTGATACCATATCGGAGATTTAAATGTAGTAACTGAATTGCCCCGATTTCATTAATCATCACGTATAGAAGAGATCAAGAATTGAGAGCAAATTTAAGGGGAACTTTCGTCTCCTCGTAGTATCATGACCAGAGGGGAAGGGCCTAGTAAAGTACATTTCTCTTCTTTCCTCGCCTCGTGCTCCACCCTCGAATCTCGTACCTCGCTCTCGTATAGCTCTCTAATTCACATTTATACGTCACACCTTTGTTTTGCTCATGAACAGGGGGCTTAAGCAAAGACGAGGGCGACGGCAACGAAAACGGCAAAAAAAGCAATAGGATTAGATTAACAAAAGAACAACTCTGCAAGTGTATCACGCTTCTTTGTACATTACTTTGCCGCCACTGCACGATTACGACGTGAACCTTCCTAATTTCACGTTTTATTGCAGACGTGAACACAAGACAGCGATTTTCTTTTTCTTTTTCTGAACTTCTACAGTCCTTTAGAAGTCAACTCCAAGTCAAATCGCCAAAATTTGACAAAGTGAAGGAGTTGGAATTAGAGCGATGAAACTGGAAGCAGAGCAAATTCACTTTTTGGGTGACGCTTTCGCTCTCGTTGTCGTAGTCGTTCCTTAAGCTCCCTAATGTTTATTCCGGGGGTGAGGGAAATTTAAGCATATTGCGCCAATGGGTGTGGCGTTTGGTCACCGATTTTTCTCCTGTGTTTTGAGCAACTCAGTCTTCCAAAGTTCAAATGTTCAGGTATTGTTGTTTGAAGTTTATATCTGACTGGTATTTTGCGTGTCTTCCTTTCATTCTCGCCAGAAACATCAACAATGAAGACTCAACTGTTCATGGCAGTGTTATTCTCTTGTTTTCCTGCCTTGGTTTTCAAAGTTCTTGTTCGCAAATACGAGACTTTACAGCACTGAAACGTTTAAGTCTCTGAGACTTCAACTTGGACCAAGAAAGAGACTTCTAGACTTACACTAGCCACTTCCCATATTTCGGATCGACTTGAAGCTTCCGACACCCACGAATTTATTGTTAGGATTCGTCAACACTCCGACTTGCCTTATTCGGTCTGTAATATAGAGCTTAGAAGTTAAACAAAAGCAGAGTATGATGGAAAAACGACTATTCGAGGGGAATTTGATACGGCATATCGGAGATTTAAATGTAGTAACTGAATTGCCCCGATTTCTAATCATTAATCATCACGTATAGAAGAGATCAAGAATTGAGAGCAAATTTAAGGGGAACTTTCGTCTCCTCGTAGTATCATGACCCCAGGGGAAGGGCCTAGTAAAGTACATTTCTCTTCTTCGCTCGCCTCGTGTTCCACCCTCGAATCTCGTACTTCACTCTCGTACCGCGCTCCACCCTCGAATCTCGTACTTCGCTCTCGTATCGCGCTCTAATTCACATTTACACGTCACACGTTTGTTTTGCTCTTGAATAGGGGGCTTAAGCAAAGACGAGGGCGACGGCAACGAAAACGGCAAAAAAGCAATAGGATTAGACTAACAAAAGAACAACTCTGCAAGTGTATCACGCTTTTTTGTACATTACTTTGCCGCCACTGCACGATTACGACGTGAACCTTCCTAATTTCACGTTTTATTGCAGACGTGAACACAAGACAGCGATTTCTTTTTCTTTTTCTGAACTTCTACAGTCCTTTAGAAGTCAACTCCAAGTAAAATCGCCAAAATTTGACAAAGTGAAAGAGTTGGAATAAGAGCGATGAAACTTGAAGCAGAGCAAATTCACTTTTTGGGTGACGCTTTCGCTGTCGTTGCCGTAGTCGTTCCTTAAGCTCCCTAATGTTTATTCCGAGGGTGAGGGAAATTTAAGCATATTGCGCCATTGGGTGTGGCGTTTGGTCACCGATTTTTGTCCTGTGGTTTGAGCAACTCAGTCTTCCAAAGTTCAAATGTCCAGGTATTGTTGTTTGAAGTTTATATCTGACTGGTATTTTGCGTGTCTTCCTTTCATTCTCGCCAGAAACATCAACAATGAAGACTCAACTGTTCATGGCAGTGTTATTCTCTTGTTTTCCTGCCTTGGTTTCCTCCACTCAAACACAGGTGACAAACTCGACCCCATTTATGAAAAAATACCCTGACTGTAATTTTGTTGACCAAATTAACATTGATTTCCTCCACCTTCCATGTTTTCAGGCCTATTCATCGGCTTGTTCAAATGGGCATCCTGGCATTCCTGGAAGCCCCGGTTTACCAGGTCCCTACGGTCGCGACGGAGCGAAGGGGGAGAAAGGAGAGCGTGGAACCAAAGGAGGGAAGGGTGAGGTTGGTGCCCAGACCCCTTCAAATTGGAAGCAATGCGTTTGGAAGAAAGGTGATGACAGAGACCACGGATTGTTACAGGTAGGAAAATGTTCATCTAGTAGCCGATTTGGGGCTCCTTTTTTTCTACAATATTTATTCCGCTAGCACAGCTTTGTTGCCTTTTAGTAATAGAGAGCTTTAGATTCTAAGACGAGTACGACTACGAGTACGAGATTTTCTCAATACTAAGTAGTGCTAGCGCGAGAACCAGCGTCATTTTGGCGGGAAAATGTGGTAGCCGTCGTCATTCTACTACGAGTTTTCCCGCGAATGTTGTGGTGGCGAAAACAAGATATCAAATGTTAAAAGTTCTTATCATTTTGCGATCGGGAGGGCGCATAACTCCTTCAGGGGCACCCAACGACAATTTTCGGAAAATATCTGTTCGGAAGACGATTTGAGATCTAGAATTTACTTAACATTTGTTGGAAAATTTCTTGCTTGCCTGCCTGTCCTAGGATTTTCGAACATCGAAAAAATGGTGTAATTGCCCAGCCTAGTCCCCAGGCGTTCTCTCTTGCCCCGTTGTCCGCGCGAAGTCTGGGAAAGAGCGGGTATCTCTCGATGACGTCACAGCTTACGTTAGAGTCCAGGATTGACCGAGCCGAGAACGCCTAGGGACTAGGCTGATAATTGCCCATTTTTAACGGATTTTTACCCTAAAAAGGTCGCCTAGAATTCTCGGGAGCCTTTTTTCTGGCTGAAATTTTCGAAAAGGTAAGTTTTGATCCCTATAATTTTCGGATCACTAGACTTTCAACTAGGAAATCCGAACAGATGAAAATTTTTAGGGGATGAAAATGTGCCCATATCTACCGTACGCGTTTAAATACTAAAATACGTTCAACAATGCTATGTTTAAGTGGTTTTGAACTATAGTCTCGTTGGGTGCCCCTGCTCCTTCACTATAAAAGATAACAATGCTAATTTTTCTTGTGAAAAATGGTAAAATAAAGCTTTCCGGGGAGTCTATATTTTGAGAATAGGCGAAAAAAATTTAAGCCAAATGTCGTACTCGTAGTCGTCCTCGTCTTAGAATCTAAAGGTCTCTAATGTAAAGACTAAAGCAAGAGGTAAGTTAAAGGCGCACGCGAGGCAAAGGCCCAAACGGCCGCAGCTTATCCTGGTTTCCTGAAGCATGCCTAGGAGTATGACTACTCCTCCCTAGACGGGATGCTAGTCCATCGCAGGGTTATCCCCCAGCAGTAAGTCGCCGGTACACCTGCGTGAAGAGAAACAAACTGGACTAAAGTTCTTTCAGTCTTAAGAACGAGGCGACGGGCGAGGACTGAACCCTTGGACTCTCAGATCTGGAGTACGAAGTGTTAACCGCTCGGCCACACACGCCTCCACACTAAAGGTTGATTTCCACTGACACGTTTTTGGCTACACACGTTAACTCACGTAAATTTCAATCACGTAAATAAAATAGAGGCAAGATAAAAGGTGCTGAGCTTAACCGAAAAGATTAGCGAGGTTAAACTTTTACGCTAACGAGCTATCTTTCATGCATTGCCTCTATTTTATTCGCGAACGTAATTTTCGCACGTACGCACTTAAAAATTACGCGGAACTGGAAATGAAAGGAACATAAAAAAAGATTTTTCAATTCCTCCAGTTTTGCCTGAACTCATATCATCATTATCTTTTTCGCCCTAGGAGTGCCTTTTTAACAAGATGCAAGACCACACCACCCTGAGAGTCTTCTACTCTGGAGCTCTTCGCATCTATAACTGCAATTCATGTTGCAAGCGCTGGTTCTTTACCTTTAATGGTGCTGAGTGCAGTGGGCCGATGCCCATTGATGGCCTTATTTACCTGCGTTCCGGAAGTAGTAAAGAGCCCCTCCGTACCCGCCATATGGAAGGTTACTGCGAAAATGTCCCAAGGGGAGTGGTGCGAGTGGGATTCAACGTTGGCAACTGTGCACGGCACGGTGAGGCAGACGCTCACTCGGGTTGGAACTCAGTGTCCCGGATTGTGGTGGAAGAAGTACCAACTCCGCAGAAGTAAAAGCGAGTCGTCAATAACACTGGAGAATAATTATCATGATTCACTGATGATTAAAGTAGAAACAAATATCTGTCTTGTAGTAGCATTGGCAGTTATCAAAATATGTCACATTCTGGTATACTTTGTCGAACAAGACATTATTTGCCTCGCGTTGTTATGCGGGGTCTATATTATGCACTTATCTACCCATACCTAAGTTATGGTAACATTGTAGGGGAAATACGTAGACAACAAGACTAGAACCAACAGGAAGGCTACAAAAGAAAATTATAAGGATTATTAATTTTTCAAAATTTAAGAACATACTGGTCCACTCGTCAAAGAACTATTAATTTCACCTTTAGGTGGTATAAACAATGAAGCCATTGCTTTGTTCATGTTTCGATACTTCAATAACAATCTACCAACATCTTTCAATGATTTCTTTTGTCTGAACAAAGATGTTCATCAATACAACACAACTGAGATCATCCTCCACGTTCACAAAATCCAGGCACGAACTAAGTACCAGAAACACTCAGTAAAATACAGAGGAGTTTCAATATGAAATAACTTGCCAAAATCTATGAAAGAAATTAAGACATTCAATTTATTCAGGAAAAAAATTAAAACGCATTTTCTCCACAAGCAAGAAAATTAGAAATTCACTATATAAACGTAGAGTTTTACATAAATGATTATTCTAAATAAGTTCGTCAATTACTGTAATCCTTGTAACATAGCTATATCCTTATTATAATCTTTAAAATAAATCATTGTAGTAAACTTGTTCAGGGGCTCTCCTCGTAAAGCCCAAAAGAGTTAGCTGAGAGCTCCTGTCGAGGTATAATATTATGTTATATTATTCTGTAATTAATATGTGAAAGGGCAAATAAAGATTGATTGATTGATTGATTGATTGATTGAATTCAGCAAGCCTTAAAGGAACTGTGTCACGAAATTATTTGGATCATTATATCTTTCTGGGTGACTACCCACCTACTCCTCCCTAAGCCAACATTAACATTAATTTCTCACTTAGGGTAAAATGGCAAAGAGTTACACCGCCTACAGAACCGTGCAGCCCTAAATATAATACGGAAGAACACCTCAAATGACATTTTCTGTGTGCTAAACTGGTTAAATCTAACTTCCAGGAGAAAAATGCATAAATGCATTCTAGTTTTTAAGTGTTTATATTATCTAGTACCCAAGTATCTTACGCAATATTTTACAAGGAATGCGGATTTGCACGATCATGTAACTAGGAGAAGCAACGACCCGCTTCCTCAAAAGCCTAAAAGTAACATGGGCAAAAGAACTTTTTAAGTGTGCAGGGGCTATTTATTTCAATTCTTTACCCAATTATGTTAAAAGTGCCACGTCTGTAAATAGTTTTAAAAAGATGCTAACCGAGTATTTTACCTTATAATTTTAATTTCTTATCTCTTAGCACACACTCTATATTGACCTAGCTAGATTTTTTACAGTATTATCGTTTATGTTAATCATGTATATACCTTAGGAATTTGTAAATAGCAGACTTTTTTTTATTTCTCAGGGCCCCTATGGATACCAGCCTCGTTGCTGAACGGGCTACCCTGATGAAATAAAGTTACTTACTTACTTACTTAATTTTACTTACATGAAAGTTGAATTGATCAACGTTAGGAGAATTTAGATGCTGGTCATACGACGGGAATTGGGTAAAACTTTCCATGCCACTACGTACTTAGTCCTCAAAGACAAGTAACACTAACGTTCTTGAGATTGTCAATTTGTCTGCTGATTAAAATGTTACAATAGTGTCAATAGTCTGTCAGCTTCTGTCAGGTGATTGGTTAGCTTCATTCACTGACACTCGCCAGTTTTTAGTTTATAGCACTATACAAGAGCTGGGTTAGTGACGCATTCACTTCTTTTAGCGTACAGCCTACACTGAAGTGAATCAGGTTGGTGAGTTAAATGTTTACTATTTATTGCTGTATGGAGGGAGTCTTGCTTTTTTAGTAAAGTGTAGTGAAATACAGTTTGATAGAACCTTTGTGGCTGACAGAGGATCCAGGATTCTCCAGCCCTGTAAGGTGGAAGGGTAACCAACTAGAGCACACTGCTAAAAGTTTCTACCTACCAAAAATTTCCCTCCTCTACAAGAAACTTCAGTGTCTATGCGGGTAATGCGACAACATGAGCTACGTAGTGCATTCAGACTGGCAGATGCCGTCAGATTCTACCCATAAATGCAAAATTGTTCTCTTGGGCATTTTATGAATGATAGTCAGTAGTCCAGTGGTTTCAATAAGCACTGACGGCCGACAACACGTGTCAGCTACTTTTCTCATAGAAGTCGGCTACTTTTTTCTAGAAGGAAGAAGGAACTAGTTTGAATAGCTTTGTCAACAAAAAATATAATTATCGTAAAATCTAAAAGAAAACGTAATTGTGATGTGTTTTCATAAAGGCCCACTGGTGTTACCTTATGCTTTAGTCATGTAAACGCTATATTTCAGTCAGTTTTCACAGGTTTCTTTATAGGTTCAAGCAGAACTTGTTAACGTGCAGAAGTACGTAATGTGGTTTTCATCATTTGTTCATTCCTTGTAGGAATTGATTGTGACTGATCAATCAGAAGTTTAATGAAAGCGACATTTAACTGAATGAAAAACACGCCCTTTTGTCCTCAATTTAGTGCCCAAAACGCTGAAAATTGCATTTTAGGGCTTTGAAATTTCAAAATTTTCTCGGGAAGCACGTCACAACACCGCCCCTCCCCCTCAGGGACTAACATGAGCTAACATGCCCCTTTTGATGCAGTCGGTTACTCTATTCAAGCCTGCTGGCTACTTCAAATTTTATTGAAATCCCCTGGATACGCTGTAATTCAGTCGATATTTTGACTCGTTTAACTTTCAGCTGAATATCACAATAAAGTATTCATTGATAACAAAAGTGATCCTACTTCTCTTGTACTGTTATCAGCACAGGCTTTTAGACTGAACACTTAAAAACACTCGGAAATAACTTCAAGACCAATATCCAAGGAATAACAGCTCAATTACATGCTACAGATCACGTTCTGCTCGGGGTTATTTCTCTCTGGATGTTTAATTCCCTTGCTAGAGTGTTGTTAGGATTTCAGTTTCCTCTCTGAATCATCTAAGGACTGGAAATTGTCTGCTATATATGTCACTTTATTATAAAGAAAAACCAGAAAACGTAAGAGCCGCCAAACGAGCATGTAGAGGGAGAAAAAGGAAACTGTAGTAGTTTCAAACCCTTTGGTGTTTTTTAAACTTTCTTTGCAATTTTTCTGACCTCACGTCACCTTATGATTGAAACTTGTTCCCTTTATTCTTTCAATAGACTAACTTCGATATATTAAATTTATACTTGGCTCCGAGGCTTGAGGAATAAGGGCCTGTTTACATGGAGGTGGGGGACCCCAGATAGGTGAGGTAACCTGTTGGGAGTCACCCCACTTATCGTGTAAACGTGATCAAACTAAAATGAGGGATTATAAGGACAGGCGGGTTACCCCACCTAAGGGGGTTACCCGACCTACCTGGGTCAAACACCTCCATGTAAACAGGCCCTAAAACAAAAGAAATGTAGTATGTGTTCACTCTTGAGCCTTAAGAAGATTTCTTTTATATTTTATTCCCCCAAGCCTCGGAGTCATGTCTGAATTTTTATATATCTAAATAGGCCATTTGCACGATGGCGTCACTATTTGCTACTACGACCAGAATCCTAAATTTAGTAATCCCAGCGAGGTTTGAATAACAAACGCACTAATTTGCACAAGAAAGAAAAACCCTGACGGATTCTGGTCGTAGTGGTAAAATGACGTCATCGTGCAAATGGTCTACCGGTATTGGTCTGTTAAATAATGCCTAAAACACTTACATTTCGAAAAAGAAACAGTGATTTGTGAAGCTGCTATACGAAGTTTGAACAATGAACTGTTAGTGGAAGAGTATGCAGAGCACAGTAATATCTACCCTTCCGATAATTTTAGACAACTGTCAAAATGAAGCATCGACTGACCTACATCACATGAGTGACATGACCCTATCGCAGCTTCAGGTACTCGATGAGGTCAGGAGGTTTTTGCAGTTATCTAATGAACAGTTAAAAATTTTTCATTGAATCGCAGAGTCAGGCTTTTTTTGTCCATAATCATTTCAATCGCCATGGTAAAAACGGAGCAACAGAAGCATCTCCTTTAGGCTTGAATAAATCTATTCATTAGCGTCTTATGAAGCCGTTCTCTTTCCAGGAAGACAAGGCAACAAGCAATGAAGGCCAAACTGTTGATTGTGCTAATGTCAGCTGCAAGTTTACTTGCTTTTACACGCGCTGTGGTTGAAAAGGTGAAGAATTAATTCGAAAGTATTGGAATTAATCTATCTTTCGGCTGTTTTGACTAATTGTTGCTTTCTCCTTAACACCTTCAGAGCTGTCCAGGCAGTAACGGAGTTCCAGGCATCCCGGGAAGTCCTGGGTTACCAGGTCCTTACGGTCGTGATGGAGCTAAGGGAGAGCCTGGACCCCAAGGACCAAAAGGCGATCAAGGACAAGCCGGATTGAAGGGTGAGAACGGTGCCCAGGCTCTTTCCAACTGGAAGCAGTGTGTTTCGAAATTGTACGAGGCCAAAGACAACGGGCTACTAAAGGTAAGATTTACAAACGAATGAATGCAGTCATGGATATCGTTAAGATCTTTTGAGTATAAGTTGGTCCCAAAATTANCCCAGCGAGGTTTGAATAACAAACGCACTAATTTGCACAAGAAAGAAAAACCCTGACGGATTCTGGTCGTAGTGGTAAAATGACGTCATCGTGCAAATGGCCTACCGGTATTGGTCTGTTAAATAATGCCTAAAACACTTACATTTCGAAAAAGAAACAGTGATTTGTGAAGCTGCTATACGAAGTTTGAAAAATGAACTGTTAGTGGAAGAGTATGCAGAGCACAGTAATATCTACCCTTCCGATAATTTTAGACAACTGTCAAAATGAAGCATCGACTGACCTACATCACATGAGTGACATGACCCTATCGCAGCTTCAGGTACTCGATGAGGTCAGGAGGTTTTTGCAGTTATCTAATGAACAGTTAAAAATTTTTCATTGAATCGCGGAGTCAGGCTTTTTTTGTCCATAATCATTTCAATCGCCATGGTAAAAACGGAGCAACAGAAGCATCTCCTTTAGGCTTGAATAAATCTATTCATTAGCGTCTTATGAAGCAAGGACAAGCCGGATTGAAGGGTGAGAACGGTGCCCAGGCTCTTTCCAACTGGAAGCATTGTGTTTCGAAATTGTACGAGGCCAAAGACAACGGGCTACTAAAGGTAAGATTTACAAACGAATGAATGCAGTCATGGATATCGTTAAGATCTTTTGAGTATACGTTGGTCCCAAAATTAACCCTTGTGGTACTCAAAATTTCACGTTAACAAGCGCGATTGTTTTATGGTTGACTTAAAAAAAATTAAAATGTGCGTGTTTTAAATGACTACAAGCCTTACATGTTACCATCTTTTTCCAAAGGAAGGAGTAGTAAAAGTAATGAATTCTTGAAAATGCATTAATTTCTGGCGCTGGTCGTCGAGGAAATAGTCTGCTTATGGCCAAATTTTTTTTTCCTTAAGTCGTCAAAATACAAAGCCATTTGTGCTAGCCTTGCAAATTAAGTTTTTACACTAAATTATGAGTGATGGTTAGTACATGCATTGCCTTACTGAAGGAGATCGTGAGAAATTACATTTACAACATTTCCTTAATTTGGAATGTATAGGAATGTGTCTTTCACAAGAAGGAGCAAAATTCGTCCCTACGGGTGTTTTTCTCAGGCGCTCTTCGCATCATGAACTGCGTTCGTTGCTGCAAACGCTGGTTTTTTACTTTTAATGGTGATGAGTGCAGTGGACCGATGCCCATTGACGGGATTATTTACATGCATGGAGTGAGGGGACTGGAACCCCTTCGTGTGCGCCATATTGAAGGCTACTGCGAAAATATCCCTAGGGGAGTGGTGCGAGTGGGATTCAACGTGGGCAACTGTGCAGGGTACGGTAATGCAGACGCTCATTCCGGTTGGAACTCAGTGTCCCGGATTGTGGTGGAAGAAGTACCAGCTCCACAGAAGTAAAAGAGTTCTCAGTAAGAACAGAGAAGAGGAGGGGGGGAAATAGAAGTCGAGCTGCTATTAGTATCTGTAATTGGTATCTGGTTCTATTAAAATTGGTGAAAAATATTTCCCGTCGTCTATAATTTGAACGTTCTAGTGGGGCATCAATTCCTACTCATTGTTGGGCAAGCAACCGGCTATGCCCGCGGATGAAATACGACGAGTCTGTCATCCCGTTTCCAGAGCCCAAATGTGTTGAAAAAACTTTTTTGAGACCCACCTCGAGGTATTTGATTTCTAGGGACCGTACATTTTTTTTTGGGGGGGGGGGGGAGGGGCCCGGTCCCCGGGCCCCTTTTTCCCCCGCCCGGTTTTTTGCCTTTTTGCCCGGTTAAACGCCCCTTTTTCCCCCCCTCACCTTTAAAACAAAAAAAAAAAAACACTCCCAATGGTAGAGCGGGAGCGGCTCGTCTTATGGTGTTGGGCGCTGGAATGAAGTATGTAGTAACTTTTTGTAGGCGGCACTTATTGTTTTTAGTTAGTCGTAGTGTGGTTTGTTTTGTGGTGGGGGGGGGGGGGGAGTAAGAGGCCTGTACGCTGTCTCCCTTTTGCCTACTGCCGTTTTTTGCACTTTCTGCCGATTAGAAGCCCCTTTTTCACCTCCTGAACTTATAAACAAGAATAACTAACACGTACCAGAACCAACAGACTGTATTTTTATTGTTTAATACGCTATAAATGACTATAAAATCTATAACTATAAAATGTAACATTTTAAATAATTTATCTAAATTTGATTAATTCTTGCGTGGCGAATTTACGAAGACTGTTAAATTCTACATCAAGATGTTTTCTCCAAAACCGACGGTCTCGACCCCAGACCTCCGCAGGGTAACACGGGCTGTCGATCCCGTGAAATATACGCGCAACAGCGCGACCCGTGAACGAGTGATCGTGATGAACTCCTACCAATGACCTGATGTCACGAGCAATGATGTCCCAGTTCACGTGACCATCAGGCGTGATATTTGAACGAATGTTTTTGGAGCCCTTTCTCGCTTCTGACAACTCTCTAAGCTCCTTCTTCGTATTGTCGGAGGAATCTTCAAAATAGCTACGCACAATTTGTTTCAGCTGTTTATCAGATTCTTCGTCTACGTCGTCAGCGCAATGCCAAAATTCGGAAAAGGAAACACTCTTGAGCGAGTCGTAGACGAACTGAAGCTGCTGCAACTGGCTCCGCTCCTCGGCGAGTATTCGATCTTCTAGGAAATCACACACACCGTCTCGCTCTTCGTCTGAGAGGTCACCGGGTGCTCTGAGGTGAAAGGACAAATCGGAGAACTCAACCAAGATCCCTGATTGACCCATGTCAGCAAGGTTATGGTCACGTGATAAACACGTGTTCCACTGCAGAGCCCTTAACTCGCGGCACACTGGCTCAAGATCCCATCCCATCTTGTCTGCTAACTCCACCACCGAGAAACTTATTGAGTTGGATCTCTTAAAGCTGGCAGGTGTTGTTGTGGTGTGCGATACCGCTGCTGCTATCGGTGGAACGTTCTGTGCCACTGCTCTCAACTGCGCATGTCCACCATAAAACTTTACTTCGCATGTGGATTTTACGGGCTGCAATACTTCGAGCCAGCGACGTGCATGCAACTCTAGGTAACACAGCAAAGTGGCGATGTTTTCTTCGCGCATGTCAAGTTCCTGAATTAGACATTCTATCACCATGGCAACCTCGTGCCCGCCGCACAGGCGCTGAACTGGTTCCTGGGCAGAGTTTTGATGGCGCAGGACTCCTTCGTTTATCTCCGACTCGACACCTTTACCGTCTTCAATTGCTTTGCTTTCTGGTCCTGGACACAAAGTTTCTTCGCTTTTACTTGAACAAGATTGCTCTGACTGAGTTGCCTCAATGGCTGAATCAGAGCTTTCTTTTACTCGCTCGTGTTCGTTTTCTTCTCTGTTCTTACAAGCGTCATCTTCAACAGCCTTCTGATACTGTAGCTCAACAGCTTGCAGCTCTGCCTCCAAATTCGAGTCCATCATGTCTCCACAAGCGTCCTCAATGTCCAGGAGCTCATCCGTGTTATATCTTCTTGCATTCCTTTCTTGTTGCTGCTGATGCAGCTTCTTGCACTCACAACGAGGAAAGGCTCGACGAACTAGCTTCTTAATAGTGGAGCGGTCTACAGTATTAGCGTAAACATGGCGACGCAGCTCACACATGTCCTTACCCTATGAATAAACGTGACCACACACTAATTAAGTTCTATTTATTAAAATGCAAAAAATTACCACATTTTGCACATTTTACGAAGAAATAAGGTCAGATGTCAACAGGGTTCGTACAGAGTTTCGGATCCACAATTCAAGACTTTTTTCCAAAACAATAATTTATTTTTCCAGACTCACGGTTATCATATAGGCGACCAACAGAGACCTTGAAAAATGCAGCAACTAAGCTTTTCTCATGATGCACTGCAATCATAGTGCTCGAATGTAGACATACGTAAGTTCTGAAACTTCCCATTCTGTAATTGAATGTCTTGGCTACAGGCGAGTTTCAATAAGATTTCAATAAGATTTTACTTACTAAGCACTTGTTGTGGCTTTGAAAAAAAAACACACTTTTTACGATTTTTCAAGACTTCAACTCTATTTTCCAGACTTTTTCCAGGTCTGGAAAATTGCTTTGCAATTTCAAGACTTTTTCAATAATTCAAGACTCTGTACGAGCCCCATGTCAAGAGCATTGGACAATTTGAGGTGGCTCGTGCTATTGGCTGACACGAAGTTGAAAAGAAAACTGGGTCAAAATTTCTTCCCGAAAACTGTCCCACAATGCAATTCGAGACAACACGACCCAGTATTCGCCACTTTGAGGTTGCGAGGGAGACCGGGTCGGGATGGTTGTCAAACTGCATTGTGGGACTGTTTTGGGGCACGAATTTTCAACATGGCGGCAAATTCGTCCCCGAACACAGTCCCACAATGCCCTTCGACAACCATCACGACCCGGTCTCCAGCGCAACCTCAAGGTGGGAAATTGCCCGCAATCTAGTTTAGACGAAGGAAAGTAAGACTGTTACTTTAAGTTCGGTCATGAACAAAGAAAAACTGGCGAAACAGCTGTCGACGGCTAAAACCCCGCTCTGTTTTGGGTTCTATCGGTTTCGTGTTGATGTCTTGCAAAGTAAGTAGTCCGATCAGCATTGCAGAATTTTATGTGTCTACAAAGAAAGATGTGTCAGGGGTAACGGACATCCAGATCATTACTCAACCCATTCACTCCTAACAAAGCCTTACCAAGACTTTAAAAAAAATCCAAATTCTTGCTTTGCCAACTACTGAACCAAAAAAGGTCCCTGCCAGAGTGCTTGATGGAGTTTTGTAAGGTGACTCTAACGTTTGAGTCTGCGGACCAAATCCTATGATGTGACCATTCAAATGAAAGCTCTCTGCCTGTACTTACACGTGGTGCTATTTGTTTTTCAAAATTTCACAAAATGAAATTTGGACATTTGGTCAAAATTTCCTTTTAGGTAAGTTTGGCAGTGAAAGGGTTAAAGGTACTACTGATGAGGTTCATTTGGATGGTCACACCATGAGACTCCAAGAGTAGGATGAAAGTTGGTTATATAAGAAATATTTTACCTACCTCCGGGTCAAGAAACACGTGACAATGCGAGGGAAGCCCGTCCCGTCCCGCGCGACCAATTTCCTGAACATAGCTTTCAAAGCTTCGAGGCAGGTTGTAATGGATGATAGCACGGACATCTGGTTTGTCTAAACCCATTCCAAACGCAACAGTCGCCACAACAACACGCAGTTGCCCTGTCATGAATCGTTTCTGTACACGCCGTCTTTGGGCGGCGGACAGTCCAGCGTGGTAGCATTCGGCGTCCCATTTAGGAGCCACTGGTTTGGATGACTTTTTCTTGCCTCTTCTAAAAGAAAAATTTCCATATTCTGGCATTTGATTTGAATAGACCTTAAACCGTTTATAGAACAGTTGTTATAGTCATCTCATCAACACAAAACACTTGATGTTAACCCCTTAAATCATGTACAGTTTGGCAACACACACAGGCAGCTTGTTACGCACCTGATTCCTGTGGCATTACAAGCTAGATGCATTTCCATTTTGTTCTAGGCAAGGCACAGGATGCTGTGAAATTGCAGCCAACTACCTTGAATTGGCCTCGCTGGGTTCAATCTCTCTCGTCTCTCTCTACACTATTCCATCAGCCGCATATTAGGAACTGTATCATGTTAGATAATGGATATTTTAAGACAAAAGCTCCATACCCTTTAGTGTTCTTCTTCCTTCCGTTATTCTTCTCTTCTTCTCCAGTCTCACTCTGTTCGTCCCAGCCTGATGGGAGCCTGTTACTCTGTAAACACGTACGCAAGGTCGAGGCCAGTTTCTCTGTCTGCTCTCGGCGAGTGCAATATATTATAATGGAATCGCATCTCGAGAAACGTCGACCTTGGAGTAACTGCAACAAAGCCTGTTGGACAAAGATAACTCTGTCAATAAACTTGACCGTTAAAATATTAAGCACCCCCTTCCCCCACAGGCTTATTTATTTTAAGCTCGTTTGAGAGGGGAGGTTATAGAGGAGAAGGGGCCTGCTTGAAAGAGGAGGGGTTATTTACTTTACTGAAGATAATGGTACAATTCTCAATAAAGAACGCAAATTGGAGACTCGGGGGCACATAAAGCTGGGTGTCATGGAGCCGAAGATAAAAAAAACAAATCCAAACCTTCTGCACATGAACAAATTATACCGTGTCAGTCCACATGAAGTATTATGGTCGTGATTAATTAATACAATCTATTATTTAAGAATAAAGGGGGGGGCAGGGGAAGCTTTAAAACTTTCTTCACTTGAAAAAAGGGGGGAAATACACCGTATTCACAAATGGCGGACACGCGGGAAAAAACTGGTGCCTAGTCATGAAAGCGAGGCGTTGGAGGATAAACAAAAATTACAAATGAAGACTTTCAGTGAACTTCCAGAGTGTTTAGCACGGATTCCACCTAAAATAACTTTGTACGGACTTCTTTTTAAATACAGTTACGTGGGATGTCTTCTGCTTTTAATGTTTAGTAATGACTTGCTGTTTGCAATCAAAAGGGACGCGTATATCTGCAAGGAAACAGGATGATTTTGTAGGTTTTCGAGTCGGTTTCCGAAGCATCAGAAGCTCGACAGGTGGACGATGACTGGAGAAAAGCGGCAAACATGTTGGCCCAAACTTCACATTGAAACCGAGTACGAAAGCCAGCTCACTGTAATTCGGTGAAACAGAAATATAAACAAATCTTGGTGGCAAGAAAAAAGAAATAAGCGACAGATACATGGCCTACTTGTTAACGCAAGAGACGTCTGCCGTTGAACAAAACAGTTCAAGTCGAGATGGAAAAAAGGAAGACAGGAAAGAAGAGGTGACTGAGGTTTCGATGAAGTTATGTTTGATTTTTGTTTGCCAGGACGTTATTCTCTGGTCTTTATCAATGAAAGACATCAATTATAACTATTTTTTTTATTATAAATGCAGGAGCGATCGAGTGGAGTACGCTCAAAATTTCAACTTGTTACTCGGCAGACTCGGTAAGCCAGACACATCATTTCAGCGAGTAATTTCGTATTTCTTATCGTTGGCTGTTAAGAGTTTTAACTTTATGTGCCATTATATTTTAAAGTTGAAGAATACATAAATAAATAAAATGATGGTCTTCTTAAACGGATCCAGACTCGAATTTAATTATCTGAAACAGAAGCTTGCCATGTTCAGTCCTGACACAAACATTGCCTTTAAAGTTTAACCTAGTAAAATGTAAGCTTTATACCACTTTTTTTTACCAAGAGCTCTCTGAGATAATGCCCTAAAGGAGACCAGGCAAATAGAGAGCCATAGGATTCACACACTACAGCTTCTAATTTTGATAAAATTATTTTTAATTATTTCGCAATGACAACGAAATCATGAGATTTTTGCTAAGCTCTGCCAACGTACCTCTAACAATTCGCTCCAAAGCGACGGAATTAATATGATCCAAAGGAAGTTGTAAATACAGACATACATATATACATAGATATGTATAAAATGACTCTAAAATGAATGAATGAGCCTCGTGAATGAATCTTTCACCCGCTCTCAGCTTGACCTGTTTTCAGTGGCCATATATCCGTCGCTTATTTCTCTTTTTCTCGCCACCAATATCTGTTTTTATTTCTGTTTTACAGAATTGTAGTGATCTGGCTTTCGTATTCGGTTACAGTGTGAAGCTGAGCCAACATGTTTGCCGCTTTTCTCAAGCCATCGCCCACTTGTCGTGTCCTGCTTCTGATGCTTCGGAAACCTACAAAATCATCCTGTTTCCTTGCAGATATACGCGTCCCTTTTGATTGCAAACAGCAAATCATTACTAAACATTAAAAGCAGAAGACATCCCACGTAACTGTATTTAAAAAGAAGTCCGTACAAAGTTATTTTAGGTGGAATCCGTGCTAAACACTCTGGAAGTTCACTGAAAGTCTTCATTTGTAATTTTTGTTTATCCTCCAACGCCTCGCTTTCATGACTAGGCACCAGTTTTTTCCCGCGTGTCCGCCATTTGTGAATACGGTGTATTTATAGGGGATTTACGATAACAGTCCAAGTACTCTGTTGAGTATGCCATTTTTCTCGGCATACCGTATTTACTCGAATAAGCACCCCATTTGGAAGAAAGAAGATTAATAAGCGCCGCGGCCTGATATAATCAAAATCAAAAGAGGTTACTGCTGTTAGTTTAATACGGAAAATAATGACAAGGAAATTAATAGGATTCTTTGTCGCGTCCAACTTTCAAACAAATGCTGACAGGCCCTAAATAAGCGCCGCAAATCTGCGGCGCTTATTCAAGTAAATACGGTTGGTGTTGTTTGACAAGAAAATTACTTGAAAAATATGTGCAAGGTTAATCTTACCTGTGTTCTATCACTGTCACATGACACTGACAAAAACAAGTTGGGTGGTACCGCGCCCCCTCTGATGACAGCGCCCGGGTCATGTACAATCCCAAGATGCTCTGCGACAGATGCGGCTGTCGAATGAGTTGCTGTGGCGGTCAATCCCAGAAAACACCGCACACCGAACTTTTCACGAAGAACCTACAAAACGAAAGATAAGTAGTTTATGAGGGCGAGCTCTGCCTTCATTCACCCAAATGTACGTCTTAAAGTAGTTTAGACTGTCCGCGACGTTTAACAAAATCGCGCCACTGAAACTAACCTGTTGAAGAAATGGTAAAACGAATTTCTCTTTTCGATGTAAAAGCATTGGAGGATGAGGGGAGGGGGTAAAATGAGCGCACCAACGGCCTTAGGTTTGACGGTCTAATGAGTACTGTTACGAGTTACCTACATAAAATATGGACCTTTACCTTTATGACCAAATAACAGAGAATTAACAACTACCCGCATAACCTCGAAGGGAAACCGGTCGTTTCGATACAAGTCGTTTTGATAAAAACTCAAGAAGTGAATTTGCACAAAAGTTTTGACCACTTCAAGTATAGCTTTCGCGTGAACAAGGAAAACATTTGGGGTAAATAAATTATTCTTCGTTCTTTACGCTTAGTGCGTGAAACTATTTTACATCTTGACTGTGTTAACTTGTATCGAAACGTCTTATATCGTAACGACCGAAGTATTCCCTTTCGCCTAAAGATCAAAAAGCTGTATAAAACAGACTACTGCTACTAGCACTAACCTTACAAACTCTGAGGTAAGACGGTCGGAAGTTGTGAGACCATTCTGATACACAGTGAGCCTCATCTATACAAGCAAAAGCAATCTGCGGCAGCCGAGAAACAGCAGGTAAACATCCGTTTCCGGAGCCCCCTCCAACTAGGGCCTCAGGCGAGAGAAGCAATACGGACACCTTGCCTGAACACAGATCATCTACGACCTTTTGACGCTGGGCCTTTGTGAGGTTCGTATGAAGGCAGGCGCCTTTTAATCCGTGAGGAAGACCAGTGATCTGAAAGTAAAATTGTCATTGTTTATTGCATCATCCATAATGCTCTATAATTATATGGCTACAATAGTACGTGCGCTCTGATTGGCTGCTGCAAGGACAAGATTTTCTTGTAATGACCGAGCATTATTAGCAAGGAGTCCAAGGCATATACGATCTATGTTTAACTTGATAGTGGACAACCATGTTATGGTCAATACTGACAGCTGTCAAGAAAGGGTATCCACTGGCCAATGTCACATGACTGTATCGTGAGCTCAAGTGTATAACTCAATAAGGTGATGTGTTTTTTTAAGTTATCTGCTGACCAGTTATTGGTTTTAGTAATTTTTTTGTTTGAAGGCTCAATTACTGTGTTTTATATTAATAACGCTAAAAAGGCCATATAACAAATAACGTATTAACCTCATACGTTCAGTCGTTACAGGGAAATCTTGAGCCGAGCGATAGCAAGGTCAATACACCAAGGCTTCGGCCTGAGATTTCCCTAATGATCTCACTCTAGGTTAATGAGTTAGCATGGTATTTAAACCCCCTGGGGGACTTGTGAAAGGGCTGCCAACTTGATGTTTTGACACCGTAGGATTTTGCTCACAGACTGAGTGTTAGAGCTTCATACTAAAAAAATGGTACCATGTGAAAGTATTGCTGAAAAGGTTTCATCTTAATGGTCACACAATCAGATTTTGCCCACAGACTCAAATGTTAGATCTTAATCCTAAACAAATACAGGAGTACCATTTTAAAGTTTCATACTTGATGGCCTCACCCTGGGATTTCGTCCACAGACTTCAGAGTTAGAACTACATGTACCAAGTACTTTGCAAATATTCTTAAATGACTCTAAGAGGGAAGAAATTAAGTGAAAATGCAGTGATGGTGTTCTGTACCTGATCTTCCATCAGAGACACAAGGGGTGAAATAACCAGTGTTAAACAGGGTGACCTTTTGGCATAAAGAAAAGCAGGAAGCTGATAGCACAGTGACTTCCCAGCTCCTGTTGAAAGCACAACAAGCGATGACAATCCTGAAATTGAAAATAACAGGATGTAT